TGCGGTCCTTTCCAGATATTGGCATAAGTGCACCCGAAGCAAATAATGGCTACGCGTGTTCGCCACAAAACAACAGTCAGGTCCTTTGGATTCCGGAGAGAATCAAAGGAAGAGTCGATTTGTTACATTTGCCATCGGTTGTAGTACTTTGCCACTCATCGTTTACTTTCAACTTCACGCCATAACAGATTGATTCTTTTATGGCTTGGTAACCTTTTCTCATTCTCCTTATTTAAATTTTGTTTTTTATGTTTTTGACACGATTAGTGGCATATATGTATGTAGACGCTATAAGAAATTTCCAGAGATACTGTTGACTACAAGATGGCTTATTTTTGTGTAATAAACTTAGGTCTTCGACATGATGGTCGTGTACATCATCCATTCCTCTAAGAATTTAATCTATTACGCGTTTCGTTGCGGGTGATCTCTGGTCGTCTGTTCAGGGGCTGCAGGTTTTGAATCCAGAGGGCTGGACGCACTCGTAACCGAGGTGGACAATGAAAAAATCCTCAGTGAGCACAAAACTCTAAGCGACATAGCAGTAGGGTAATCGTTAAGAGACACGCATTATGGCTATGACATGTCGTTGCTCGCTATATTATTTTGTGGGCGTCTAGACCTGATTTTAAAAAGGTCCTGACATTGCAAGCAATGTACGTGAGAACTATGATTTTGATGTGACTAGACTTCGAACTACGTGGCCTGCTAAGGTTATCCAGTTTTCCGTTCGACCTCAAGATAAAGATAGTGTTATAATTATAGAAAGAAACATATAATAGCTCAATAAGTGGAACCATTTTTATATGGCGTTATAGGATAACGGCGGCAATTCTGTGCCTAGTTAGGTTGGATTCGGGGTCGATCTCTACTGCAGCGTACGCGATACAGGTAGCCTCTATACTTAACATACGCGTAACTTTATTCATCGTTTTCGAACAGAGCTTTTTTATTTCGAGTACGTCCAGAGTAGCTGGTAGGTCAAATGTAAGACGAAGCCATAGCATCATCGTCATGGTCATAGAGCTCGATCACCAACAACGACAAAACAGTCGCCTAGCTTGGAAATTGTTATTGTTTAACATGTCTTGCTCGTTGCAAACGCCGCTTCCCTCCATCCAGAGGCATTGACGGCCGAATGTCTGTATCCTTTTGCCTTGACTCAGCTAACTGACTAAAATCCAGCTGAAAGGGGCTGAGTGGCCACGAAGCTGTCTTGCTTTAACCCTGAACCTCGTAAAGACCGACCCAGTCACTACTGACTCTATCTACGCGCAGGCTGCTACCGGCGCTACCAGCCGTATCTTGGATCAATTGGGATGCCGTTTTTATTGCGACTGGATGATAGAGGCGAAAAATAAAAAAAAAAAGAGTGTTCTTACTGCCATTGCCTTATATCGCGTAAGCCGCCACCGATCGTGATTCCAGTCCAAAAAATACACACTCCAGGCATGTACACCCGTCGGAGGAAGGACACATGCCATGCTTATACACGTCTACGGATTGTTTTGATTACGGGAGCTGTCGTAGTGTTAGCCTCCTAACCTTATAGACAAAGAGTGAGGTAATCTAGCTTTTAAATCGGAACTAGACACATTTCACTTTGTGCTGGGGCCAGCTGTTAACTTCACGACAGTGCCAGATGCGAAACCGTACTTGAAAGTTGTGATGTTGGGTCAATGCAGCGTACGCATCATTAGGTTTGCTGTTCTAATAGTGACTATGGGTCGCTGAAGCTGGGTCTTTCTTTTTTGAGTTATTCTGCCAACTGATTGTGGACTATCGTTTCGTTACGTAAACTCAAGCTGACAAGTTTATGACGTAAGAGAAATTTCTGTTCGACACTTTACTCCAGGTGCATTGTCAGGAATAAATGAGTTGTTCTATAACCTATTTATTATCGATGTAACTTGCCTTCATATATATATATATATATATATATATATATATATAAAGAATTTAGCGTTCGTTTATAACGCACTGAAGCTGGACTGTGAATTCGATTTGCCACCCAGTCCTTAGCTAAGAACCAGAAGATTTTCATACAGTGCGATCCGTTATGTGTGATTATGCGGTTCATTTAGTAGAAAACACGGCCCGCCATTAAAGCACGCCTCTACAATTTTTTCCATTTCTAGATCTCTGTTCCCTATTTTTTCTACAAGTTGTGCATTCTTAAGTTAACAACGGGTGTTTTAAATTGAAAAGGAGGCCGAATATTGGCGAAGCCTTGTCGCACTTCCGTCCAGGCAGGTAACTAGCAAGAAACGCATATTAGCAACGGCTGTGTTAGTTGGGCCAGTAACCGGTGCGTGTTCTATGCCAACAAACAGCTCCCGGGCCAAGTTGAACTTACCGTTGAACTTACTTAGTTGAAACGCTCCGACGGCAAATATCTCAGTGCCGCTCTCGTCGCGTAAACGTATGCGTATCTATCCAAGCGCCTATTTGGATGTACAGTTATTGAATCAACCAGCAACTCGGTAGAGTGTGGCAGGAAAGCAGCCAGTCGCCACGAAGCAACAAAGACAAACGGGCAAAGAGAGGCCATTAGCTGCGAGTTCAGCTTCTGGTCGGCATTTAGACCTGCCACTAACGCTGGCCGTGTTAAGATCGGCGCAACTAGAAGCGCTACAACGTCGGTACAAATAATCAAATTCAGTAAAAACACATTAGCTTTTACAACAATGACTATCGTCAAAGACGATAGTAGTTGTTCTATGTTAACTCATCGGTTGATTTCGATACGATTGGAACAAGACCTGTAGCAGATAGTTAATTGTCAAGAGGCAAAAAGTCCGCTTGACACTGGACAGGGTAAGGACGTACATCAGGCTGAGTCACTTTTTCTATGATGATTATTATTATTATTGATGGATCCGTTGACGTTGTGGTCATCGTGATCCAGTCACGAATCGTCGACACGCTACGTGATAACATTGGTACGCCTATTCTTTCATCTAAAACGACTTGCGGCCATTTTCCATCTCTGTCAGTTAATCTTATTCGAGAGCCTTTATATCTGAGCCAGTGGACGGTGCCGTCGAAAGAGTAGGCCGACAATCGTCAGGAGCAAGCCGTTTACGATATGCTTGACTAGTTTGAGATTATATTGTAGCTGGGAGATAGATCAGGAATATATAAATGTCTCTAATAGAAGGTCTATGCTTACACTTATAGTCACTCTTAACTCAAGAACTCGGTAGCAAAAATAGACGTTGTGTAATATTTTTATTACATGACAATCGTATTACACAAGCGGCTAGCACGAAAATATCATACAAAAAAAGTTTCGAATTTTTCGATTTTTGCTCGAGCATCGTCCCATGAGTGTACCCGCGTGCAAAAGCTCTCACAGAATTGTGCTCCTATATGAAATCGGCTAACAAGGCATCCTCAGACGTTCAGTTGGATCTATTAGTACATCGGTATCAGGGCGCAAACGGCATCCGTACTCTGGGGTGTCTATGTATACAATGATGCTTCTTCTAAGGCAACGCTACTCGCTTGGCCGGCTTAGTAATGCTGCTGCTTCTGCTGTTGCTGCGGCTGTATCTCTGCTGGAGAACACTAAATTTCTGACTGATCCGTTTAACCCGGAACCAGATTTACCTCTTGGCGGTTTTTTTCACCCACCCGCATAGATGACCCGATTAGCAAATGCCCTAAATAGTTTATGTGACCGCTCGTAGATGTGGAGACGACGATGATGACGAGGTTTGTTGTATTTTTATTGTCGTTGTAAGAGATTCTGCGAGGACGGTTCCAACGGGTATGTCTATGCCATCTGTGCGATGGCGAGTGTGTGACGAGTCAAACAGGCTAAAAACCTGTAGGCAGTATCAGAATGGGTGCCGCGTCCTGGTATAGTAGCCTTGTTTTGCCTTGACGGTTAGCGCCTGGGCTTGCCACATGTGGCAGGCGTTCTGCGGCTTGACTGATCTCGCTGGCGCACGATGCTTTCTTCATATCTTTCGTCCAAGATCCTAGTTGGCTGGTAGCGGTTGTAGTAATAGCTAGTGGGGTCGCAGTAGAAAATGCCGTGAACAGAGAGGCGATGGCAGAGGTTATCAAGCTCTGCTAGGGGCCCTCCTTTTTGTCTGACGCTGTGCTTCTTCGAAGGTTAGACAAACGAAGACACGGGGCAATAATGGCTAGCTGCTTTGGGAGAGAACTTAGCAAAAAAAGCGAACGTTAGTTTTTCAACACGGTGGTAGCTGCATGCGTACAATTGATTTATAATAAACTGCAAAGTTGCGTCAGAGGCATTTTTGTAAGCATCTTCTCTACGGTACGTACAGGGTAATATCACAGTTCTAAAAACTAGTCTTTGGCCAATAGCTTTATATTCAACGTGATAACTTGAAAATCACTGAATAATTATGCACAAGCAACGTACGGTCGATCCTGCAAGATCCAGGGCTAGGTAGGAATGATGTCGCTCAATCTGTGAGATGCTAACTGTTATAACCAGGTCTTCCCTTTGGAACCCTTTTGTAATCCAAAATAAAATACTGGCGTCTATATCTAGTGTCTATTTATACTTTTTGAAACAGTGATAACAATTACAGATATCAGTTAACTAATCAATGATATAAATAAGCCGATCTACCTATTATTCTGTTTTTCATTCCTTAATATTGCTATTGCGCTAGGTGATAAGAGTTATATACAAAATGATTGGGTCAACGAATTTCCAGAGCATGAATTTTCATGGATAAAATGTGCTGAGAAGGGGGTTTTTACTCATCGGCATCTTGGCAAAGTGGACATGCAATCAGAATTTGTCAGAATTCAAACTACTGCTATCGTTGAAACATCACTATAATCACCTTACATATAAATAACGATTACTTAAAGATAATAACCATGTTCATCTCTCTCTTTTTCTATTGACATATATATATATATATATATATATATACATACATACATATATATATATATACGTCTTCATTGAACGACTTGTTTGTAAACGTCTTTCTTTGTCGTTTTTACAGGCTTTCATCTATCCGGCGTCGTGGCACCAAAGACTCCGGTACACGTCGGGGCAGGTGGCGTCGGCGTGAGTGGCTTCGACGTTGGAGCCGGAGTCGAACGGCGTTTCCGTATATCGATCTCATTCGACCGTTGCAAAATTACCGCTGTGACGTGCACCTGCGACACGCACGACATCTTCTGGTGCCAACATGTTGTTGCGTTAGCAATTTACCGTATCCGGAACGCCGACACCGTCAAACTTCGAGTGCCAATATCCGGTAAGCGCTACATATGTACGCGCATACACAAACACAATTAAGGTTTCGTACAAATAAGCTCAAGCGTCTATTTAATAGGCGACCCATACTCGTATACTGAATCTAGCGTAAGTTTCTAGAAAAGCGGATAAGCTTTCAACAGCAAAGATCCATAAACTCGCATAGATCCATTAATCCCCGTGCCGTACTTTTGCTACGTTTAGGCGTAGTTTAACCGTTACTCAACGGACTATTGTCTTGTCGTTTGTCGACGTGTATACATCAATTGGTTGTTATGTTTCTCAGCTATTTTGTAAACACTCATTATGCTATATAGATCATGACATCTTGAGTTCTTTTTTGTTCATTGTTTGTTTCTAACTTTATGTCCCTGTGCAATATACGGCGTCGCAGACAAAACACACAACAAGCTTTACCTGTCTAATCCATTCGTGCGTTTGTCATCTGTATATCAATCTGAGACGAGAAGACGCCCTTTTCTTTGGGTCTATCTGCAAGCGGAACTTTCACAAAATTCAACGGCCTTATTCTGCGTCTTTCTGTGATATAGACGTGTACACCCCCATGCATTTACAGATTCCTATCAAAGTAATAATACTCATCATCTTCTTTATGATCACTGGCGGTAGCAGCTGTTGTGTCCGCATTGTTCAATCTTGATATTGCGCTGTTTTTGTTAAGTTCTCTGCGTTTCTAACTTTTCCTTTTACGGAAGCATCACGACTTTGTGCGACCCAGTCAGTCTCAGATATTGGCCGCTGTCTTCATGTACCTTTGGTCGAACTCGTCCTAACAAGTGTGTGCTCGTTTTTTGCAATGTTAATCGATACGGTGAAGACGGCCACGATAACCGCTTGAGCTTGTTTGCCTGCGTACGCCGCCGTATTTGGCTGCTTGTTTATCTGTCCTAGCTAAACTGTGTCGACCTATAATAAAACCACTACTAACAGGGTTTGCGCGATCGATTTTCGCGCTTTTGTCTCGCTTTTTTTTTTTTTCTTTAAATCAATATCAGCTGCAGTGTTATTGTGAAAATCGTTACTATGACAACGACAGACGAGAGCCGTTATAGTATGTTTGTTACTGTTGTTATTGCTGGTGCTGTTATGGTGGCAGCTACACCAGCGCCAGGTGTTGCTCCTGCCCGGTCGACGACGCAGTTACCGTACTGCTCTAACAGGTGTTCTGTCGGGGTTTCAATTCAATATTTGTTCGTAAGCTAGAGAACTTGTTAATAGCACTTCGATTGCCGTAGTTGATTTTGCCGCTGACGCTACTCACGTCACCATCGACACCGACCGACTTCTGTTCCAATTCTCGCGGGTCCGCGACCGCTGCAGTCCCCCCAGTTTCCAGCACCCCGCGTATATTTCTTAGCGCGCCTTGTACCCCACGCCTGCGCGGTGCGTGTCACCTAGCGAGTGCCATTGCTGCTAAGTATCATGTTGGGCCCGTAGTGACAGTTTTGTGAACAATAGTGTCGAAAAGCTGTTCTTACAATCCGAGTAGTCATTACAACGTTCGGTGGCCGCTGCTGCTGCCGTATCTATCTGTATTCCTCGTCTTTTTTTTTGCGGTTTTATCTACAGAACCTTTGATGGCATCTGTGAAAGGTGATTGATTGCCTCGGTTGACTGGCTAACAATATGCGCGAGTGTTCAATCGGTCGAAAATCTCGAACAAAAAAGAGAAAGAGCTTTTCAGTGGTTCATTTTAATTTTTAATGTAGAAAACATCCTGACAGGGGAGAAGACGTCAACAATAATGTTTAGTTAGAATGTTTATTACACAAAAACAGAACAGAAATAATGAGGCGGAGTTGAGGCGGAACTCTCCACCTTTTTTTTTTTTTGTTTAGGGAAGTTCTAGAATAGTAATATGGATAAAATGGTTTACGGACATGGTGTGGCTTTATATGTATTGAGTGCCTTGTGTATGCATTTCAGATGGTTTAATTATTTCGAAAATCAACCCGGTCCACAAACGCAGCCACAGTATGATTTTTTTTAATCAAGGAACTTCGAATAACCTTGACTTAGAAATAGCGTCGAACGTCCGCCGTAGTGATATGACTGATCGAACCAAAGAACTTACCCCACAATGTATAGAACAGTTAGTGGTCGATAATAATTGAAATGAAGTTATCTTTCGATGAACTAACAAAAACTAGCATATTCAATGTTTCGAGACAACCTAGGTTACGGCATATCTAAACTATCGTTACCTCTAACTCTGGCGTAGAATTGAGGCGATGTTTTTTAACTGGCACTAAGTACACTTGATGAATTAGATGGCATTGTATCGCGTACCACAAGATCTAATGGAACTTGGGTATTTATTGAATTTTGTTATATAGATAGAAAGCACACTCATATTCGATGCACTGCTTCCTAGTTCCCATTCAGCTTTGCTACACATCAAATTCTAAAAGCTTGCGTCTCAAACGGCCCGCGACTGGTTGTTTCTCGTTCCTGTTACGGATTACAGAAACGCTTCTGCAAATGTCCCGTGAGCAGCTTCAAAAAATGCTGCAGTACCTGATCGCTGAGCACCATACAGCTGTTCTCCCCTCGGCCCAGCGATTAGCAGACGAGCTGCGCCAGAATCACAGTCTCATTAACCGTATTTCGGGCGCACCCGATCCCACAGCCGGGGGCGCGGCGGATGATGACAATGCGTGGCACCTGGACGAGAGCCAGGTGTCCGAACAAGTCCGCACCTATCTCAGCCAGGGCGGGCAATACAAGTAAGTTGAGCAGGCCGCAGCCGGTTTGCATCGTAAGCCGAAATAATTACTATGTTCCAACTTGTTAGAATATTTGGGAAAAGCAAAAAAATTAACTTTCATACTGTAACATGCACATGAAGGTAAATCAAGTGTATAACTATTTTTATTAGTGCCGACTTCTACTGCCCCTGCGTCTACATTTATTTAAAGTATCGAATGCACGGGTTTCTTTCTCGCTGGAAAATATTATATCACCGTTGTTAATTAGGAGTTGGAATTTGACTTAATATTAATTTTTTTCATTTACTTAAACATGAAACAAAATCTATTTGGTAATTGACATTTCCGTGCTAGTCGATCAGAGCCGATTTTTGAGCTAAATTTAACGAATTTATTTACGCTCTTTTGGTTAATCAATGTAAATGATTTTAAAAGCATCTGTTAATGGAAATGCTCTCAGATTAATTCGATGATCGAAAGTGATAACAATGTGGTGCTTCGCTTCAACAGCACCTCATCCCGACAGTTGGGTGCGCTGTTTGCCAAAGTGAAGGAGATGCTCCGCGCGAGAGACGGCAACGGAGCCCGAATGCTTCGTCTGATAACGGAACAGTTCCTTGATGATCCCCGTTTGGTCATTTGGAGGGCGCAGGGCACCCCTATGGCGGACAAGTGCCGTCAGCTTTGGGATCAACTTGGAGCTCTATGGGTAGGTGTCTTTCGCCTTGGATAGCACGTCGTGCGTACTGAAGTCGACTGTTACCTTCACATAATGCCTCTTACCAATATCGTTAAACAATGTCTCTGTCCGAACCTAAAACTTCCTAGAGGTATGGGCATTCGTAACAATGAAGGCTCTATCTGATTTAACGAAGTTAGTTTCCTGTGATTTAGCAAATTCCTTGTGAATGAGCTCTACGTTTTCTACGGTATCTCCTAAAAGTTACTGTAGGTATCATCGTGATCTTGTAATGAGAATGTATTTGCCTATTAAATTTGTGAGCCTAGATTGAAAGCCGGGCGTAGACACACTTCCCTTCGTGATAAGAGCAGGCCGTCTAAGACGATACTTAATGTTTTGGATATCGGACGTAAAACTCAAAACATTTATCATCTATATGTGCCATTTAACAATATGATCAGCTATATTATTTTTGTGCATCGTCCTGATTTTGTTATTGTATTGCCATTCATCGGTTATACGATTTATTTTACAGGTTTGTATCGTGCTCAATCCCCATTGTACGGGGCACGAGAAAGCACAGTGGCGTGAGTACCTCATCAAATGGTCAAATTCGCACGTCTGCCCACTGGAGGACGCCGACTTCCGGCCATCACATCACCACCACCATCATCATCACCACCACCACCACCATCAGCATTACGGAGGAGCAGGAGCACATCGACACAATAATAATCACCATCATGGCGGAGTTGGCGGAGGAGCAATTCATCACGGGGGAGGCGGTGGCGCTGGAGCCCACAACAACCATCAGGCGTTACAAGGCGCAGGTCTTGGCGGCAATAATAACAACAACAACAATAACAACAACAACAACAACAACAACAACAACTATAACAACCATCACCATTACCACCAAAACCATCAGCAGAACTATTATGGAAATCACCATAATCATCACAACAACAACAACAACAACAACAACAACAACAACAACAACAACAACCTTCATCCAAATCATCATCAGAATCGAAGGCAGGCTGCTCTTGTTAATCCGGACGATTCGTCGGAGGAATCGTCGAATTCTGATGACGACGATGATGATGTTGCCCCCCGATTTAATCCTGCTTATCGGGAAAGAGATCGTCGACGGAGCTCCGTCGATCATCGGCTGTATCAGCCGCGATCGATATTTCACCGGGCGCTTGAATCGTGGTCGCTGTCATGGGATGACCCGCACCTTCGCTACATCTTATCACACGACGGCGTTGATCTCGATTTTTTGCAACAGAGTAAGTACTCACTTCCTGGCAGCTCAACAGCGCCACCTGTTCATCTATCGCCGTCGTACAAACTCGAGAAGTTCAACACACAAGGTTACCCCCTGTGGCATGAGCATATACCGACAGCTTGTTCGCGAGTCGAGGCATTACGCTCACACGGCTATCAGCAGGAATCGCTTCGATTAGCTGTGGCCATCGTGCGCACGTTGAAACGACAACAGCATGAATGGGAACGGTGGCAACATGTGTCTGGTACGAGCACCAGTCGACCGCTGCTTAAATCAACGTTACCCAACAACACCGAGGGCTGGGTAGGTCATCCGCTCAATCCCATCGGCTCATTGTTTGACACGTTAGCCGAAGCGTCACTTGTTCCCGATAGCAAATACGGTCTCGAATACTTCTACGAGTCATTATACTCGATTGGCACATCGAGCGGACAGCAGTCGTCGGCTCATCCTCCAGCGGTAAACAACGAACAACACCCGAACAATGACAACAACAATAATAATAATAATAATAACAATAACAACAATAATAACAATAACAACAACAACAACAATAATAATATTAATAATAATAATAATAATAACAACAATAATAATAATAATAATAACAATAACAACAACAATAACAATAATAATAACAATAACAACAACAACAATAATAACAATAATAATAATAACAACAACAATAACAACAACAACAATAATAATAACAATAATAACAATAATAATAATAATAATAACAATAACAACAACAATAACAACAATAACAATAATAACAACAACAATAACAACAACAACAACAATAATAATAACAACAACAACAATAACAACAACAACAACAACAATAACAACAACAACAACAACAATAACAATGGTCAACAGCACCCACAGCCCCAGCAACAACAGCAGCAGGTGGGTCAGCAGATAGGTTTGCCGGGTCAACCTGGCCAGTTGCCTCCTGCCGCCCAACAGCAGCAACAGCCGGCACAGCAGCCTGCAGTGCCTGCACCGCAAGCGCCACCTCGCGAAAAGCCGCGTTATCGTCATGTTACAGTGCCTGGAAGTCTCGATCAACAAGAGAGCTATCTCAGTCTTGCTGTTGAAGCAGCACTTATCGGATTGAGTCAGCAGCGCTGCATGCCCATGGGCATGTACGCGCAAGAGAAGGCGTGTAAGCAAGAAGACAGGCTGATAGCTAAGCTGCAGGATATCGAATGTGACCCCATACTTATCTCAGTGATGAGGAGACAAGCAGCGCTTCTTTTAGGTTGCGGCCCATTTTCGGCTTTGGGGCAGCACATACATCCGGAAAGCGTACCAATGCATACTTTTGCAAGGTATCTATTCAACGCGTTGCTCATACACGACTCCAATTTAGCGTACCTTGTAGGACTACGGGCCATGCGTCTGCATATACTGGAGCACCAGCTGGAGTCCGATGACCTAGGTAGCCACAGCCAGAATAACAACAATCCAAATAACGGTAACAACGCCGGGCACGGGGGCAACGGTCAGGGTTTGGGAGGTCAAGGCGGTCAAGCAAATGCACAGGCTCAACAGGGTGGAGGTCTCGGTCCCCCTCAACCGCCACATATGCAAAGCAGATACCCGCGCTGGTCGACGCTTTCCCATATCGAGATTCAGCAGTGTGCCCTCGCATCCACAATGCTATCGGCTGCCAAAAGTGAGTATGTTAGCGTAGGTGATCATAGGCCATCAGCAACCTGCATGATGCACGACTTAAACACGTAGCCGTCTTAAATTCAATATAGCATTACGATAACACATGTTGTTGCCTGTTTTCGCCATAGCGTTACACGAAGCAAGCACACATAGGTTGTAGACTACCGCATGTAAAAATTGTGACCAGAAGAGAACCTAACCCACATTCATTGAAAGGTATACACTTCATCTTATTTACTATGCCATAATGTTTTTGCCGGTGTTCAAACGACCCAGTTCCCCGCAGCCAGACGTTGCGTGATTTACTTGAATGAGTTAGAACCACGATTTCTGATAGTGTTGTTCTATCTTGTTGTTATGCTCATTTTCAGATGATGTGAATAGGTTACGATCGGTTTTGAAAGCTGCCCAAAAGAACATTCACAGCTCTGTGCAGCTGTTCAAGCTTGCGCAAGATGCTTTTCGTATCGCTGTACCACCCCCGCCTGAAGGACCCGCACCGCCTCCGCCAGCGACGCCGATGGGGGCGACACCACCGCCTCCGCCCAGACATCTGGCGCTGCTCAATGTTGCGTTTGAGCTGGGTTTGCAGGTCATGCGTGTCACCCTTCAGGTCATTACCTGGCGGCGCCGCGAGATGGTTCGCTGGTTAGTAACGTGCGCCAGCGAAATCGGTCTCGAAGCTTTACTGTCGATCTTGAGCAAATGGAATCAGTTGTTCACGCCGGTTGAAGCCACTGGAACTGTGGCCCAGACAGTTATGAGCCACACGACGATTATGAGACTCGGCCTCGATTACCAACAGCAGGAACAACTATCGTCTCGTGCGCGCGCCCTAGCTCTCGAGTGCGCCTCAAAAGACCCACCGAATTGCGCGCTAAACGCTCTGACGCTGTGCGAGAACGACCGCTACGCTTTCGAATCGGCGTATCAGATTGTTGTGGACGCGGCTGCCACCGGCGTAATGATCAGCAGTCAGCTATTTACTGTCGCTCGCTATATGGAGCATCGAGGCTATGCGAATCGGGCCTACAAATTGGCGCTTCTCGGTATGAAAGGGGTGCATCTACAATACAATCAAGATGCTCATCCGGCGATCAGTGACATCCATTGGGCGTGCGCGTTAGCACATTCACTTGGCCGAACCGAGCTTGCGAACCTGGTGCCACTGCTTGTCAAGAACGTTCAGTGTGCCACTGTACTGTCAGACATTCTGCGTCGATGTTCAATGGCAGCACCATCGCTGTCGCATCTCGACGCCGCTAAACGCCGCTGCGTCAAGCCGTTATCCCTCGATCGTCCGCCCCTACGTCCGCTTCTCGAGGCGGCTATATCGGCGTACATCAACACGACTCACTCGCGGCTGACTCACATATCACCACGGCACTATGGCGATTTCATCGAGTTCCTGTCGAAGGCACGCGAAACATTTCTTTTAGCCCATGACGGACACCTACAGTTCAACCGGCTGATCGATAATATGAAAGTGGCCTATAAAGGCAAAAAGAAGCTTATGTTTCTTGTCAAAGAGAGATTTGGGTAAAAATAGACGAAACAGAAAAGATACAAAAAATTCTTATACTAAGAAAAATCACCATAGGAATGACATAGAACCAGCCTTGGTAGACTAATCCCTGCAGATGCTTGGCAGATGCTGCTACAGAAAAACAAAACGCCTAATTAATTGAATGAATGGATGGTAAGTTCATTTATGGCGATGATAATAACAACAACAGTGACGGAGAAGGATAACAAACGACGATCGACGGCCAAACTGAGCATTGCCAAAGAATGTACATATGTATATATATCTATACGTACATTATATATAAAACAAAATAGAATGTGGCCGAAAAAGCCGACAACCAAGGTTAGGCCTTGTAGTCTGGCGGCGTCCTTTTATGACGTTATGGCCAAGTTTTCACCTATGAGGAAGATGATGCTAATAATGGTAATTATCATGGCGACGACGGTAAACGAAATCCTGTACGAAAAATTCATTTACGAAACCCTAATTATTACAACTATTATTTAGTGTGTATGGTACCAGTTATGATTCCATGATCTGAATAGCCTGTCCCAAGATGCGCCACTTACCTTTTACCGATTGTTTGGTTATATCTTCTCCTTGAAGTGTGCCTAGGTTAGAGAAAGCGTCAGAGCAAGTGGGCGTGTACGGTAAACCTGTCGCTGTGATCCCGACGCAAACCAAAAGCTCTAACGATGTCTCAATGTCCTTTTTGACGAACTTCGAACGATGAGTTTTTAGGATTTTCAAAGTACCGCGCAGTATCGGAGCCACTGGTTACATAATTTCATATACGTATTAGCCGCTGCTCTACTTTTGCTTTGCATAGTGTTTGTATAAGGGTCCAGATCTGCGTGCGAACCCAGCTCCGTCTGATTTGCTTGACCATGGTTGTTTTTGGTCACAGACAGAAAAAATCGAGAGCAAAAAGAGACAGATACCCTGCACTGAAATGACGCTCCTGCATGCAAACATGTCCTAGTCGAAGTATATAAATGACCATGTACTATTAGTTGTCAACCAGCGAAGCGATAAGCTTCTTCGGGAAAAGAAAGGGTCGTTTTGGCGTTGCCGCCTGGGGCTGTACGGGTCCCTCGACGTCATGATCATGATGGTGCGGATCATGGCAATGGCTCTCAACTGTTTGCGAACTACTATTGCTACTACTGCTACCCAATGAATGAAAGCATTACGTTGTTTATAATAATAATAGTAATAACAATAACAAATTGAGCATTACGTACGATTGATGATCTCTACCGCATCTGTGATAGCAGCCATGCCTACTACTCCCGAGTCTCCAGGACATCCAAACGCCTTCGTATGCGAATATGACCGAGCGGATTGACGCTGGTCATACCAAGTTTGTCTGTATATCAACACCAACTGATATTGAACTATACGATAACAACAATATGATGATGTGCATGAAACTATTGTATACTAACAGTTATTACGGTAATAAGAACAAGATGCTGCCTGGTAGTACGCATTATTCGTAGACAACCAGTGGTTCCTTGCACCGGCGGTACCCATTTTATAGTAGGTGTCAGCCACGATAATACAATATACCAATAAAAACTATTACATGAAGAAACGACAGCTTGGTCATGCAGCACCAGTAAAGACAACCGATTATAACAGGACAACAATGTATATTTGATTGATTGGTTTGTAGGCGATGTCCGTCCCTGGCTATTGCTTGCCTTTAAAATTGACCGTTGGGAAGTTTGTTTTTTTTTTTTACTTTGCAGGGCTGTCGTCCTCGTTTTATTCATATCATCTAACCCCCTGGGTTGGAACCTTAAGGATGGGCATGTTCGGTGGCCAAAAACAGCATTTTTGTCTCACAGGGGTCGAACAAGTACTGAAATATGATGAGTACTGGCGCGCATGGCGACGCTTCGAGAGCTGAGAGTTCTGTTCAGAAGTGACCTATTGTAAAATTCCAAAAAGGACAACACACAGCTTTCGAATTAGTTGAGGATCACTTTGAGCCATCTCTGAAGAGTAATTAACTTCTACGGTTTTTACGAGCGAACCTTTTGTCACAGCTGAGCAAATATCAGGGATCGTTTTCGGAGCTTTTTGGTACAAGAAAAAAAAGTCGAATATTATTTTCTACCCCGTAGACATATTTGTAATCCGGACTCAGGGTGAAATTGTGTGACCTGGTAAAAACGATAACAACGAATCTAAAAAAATGATGACCTTATCAAAAATAGCCTTTCAAAGGAATACGATACTCGACTAGTAGGAGATGAAAAACGTTTCAAAGGGCCGCAAAAAGAGAAACGGACGTTACCACTTATGTACCAACCTAATAACCTATCCTTTTTTGAAGGATGCAGCAGAGTAAGCTATGTACGACTATGTGTATGTAAAAAGGAAAAAACTAGGTAGAAAATGATGGAAGATTGAAATACTTCTATGATTACAATGATGAGAAGTAGAACAACAGCAGTAAAAATAATAAAAACAAAGCTAAAAAGTTCGATGCGGCGTGGTCAACACTTCCCTGGCCGGCCGTATGCGGACAACAACTGTGTTCCAATGATGCAATATATTGAAAGCGAAGCAATTTTCACGCCATTAACACACTGAACTCCGGTCGAGGAAGTCGGCTAAATGGTTATTTCCGAACGGTTACTTATAGCTATACAATGAAACGATAGCAAATAGCTAAGGTTTCGGGGACAGTCGAATTTTTCGGTCAGAGATGCGTGTGCAGGCACAGTGCAAGGGGAGGCATTTGTCAAAAAAACTAAGTGTCAAAAATTGTTTTAGATTTTTAAACGAACCGTTAACGATAACAAACCACGAGTGGCAGTCCTCGACATTTGTCTGTCTGATCGGGACAATTTAGCTCATATACAATATGATGATCTGATGCATGGTCAGAGAGCGGAATGAAGATATAGAAACAAGAAAATGCAAGGGAAAAAAGGATAGAACTAGCATCGTAGATAACTATTTGCTGAAGTGACAAACACTACGGGAAAGATGATAACCCCCCTAACAATCTACTCCTCGCCCTCAGCCCCCTTCCGTCTTCCTCTCTCCCCCCTCTCTCTCTTAGCCCGTTTTGAGGCGG